TGATAGGATATATAATCCAACAGATTCGTAATCCTAAGACTATTAGTCATGAGAATACTAATCCAGTCCGCCCAAATAAATATGGCCTTAAGTTATGGCAAGTCACATGGTATAATTTGACATGAATGTTAGGTTTACCCAAATTTTACCATGTGTAAAATTTATTCCATATATTAGGCATGCCAAGTGGTGTGAAAAAAAATAAATAAATAAAATAAAATAAAATAATTATTAAAATAACAAGGTAGTGTGAAAAGTTAATAAATGAAATATTGCTGAAGCAGAGTTAGGTATATTAAATCATAAATAGTAAATTTTTATAGACAACATGTGGAATGTTCATTACACCTTTTTGGGTGAATATGTTCATTACTCCTTACTTTTGAGGACGTCAAGTTTCACATTGCACAATGCAATTCTATGGCAGTGCTTTTATATTTTAAGTCTCCAAGTATATTATTTGTATTATTTTAGTTTTTTAATATTTAAATTATATAAATTTGATCCTCACTGTAATTCCATTAGTTGACGTTGTTGAAGTCATAAATAAATGTAAAAATTTATTTAAAAATTTACGCTTTTAGTCTTCAAATTATGTGATGCGTTGAAGTGGAACTCCCTTAATTCCAAAATATGTGATGTGTGTCATTTTGCACATTTATTTAGGACTCTAACGGCATCTACTGTTGAAATTTGGTAAACATTTTTTTTTAATACTTTTAGAATTAAATTGGCATAATTTAAATATTAGGGATTAAATTAATACAAAATTCATGCTTTGAAAATAAAACATGTAATTAATCCTAGTTAGTTCGTAGTAGCTAAAAACGTAACGGGGGTTTTAAACTTTGTATTCAATGAGTTTTTTTTAATTTTAAATTTGTCATTATTAGTGATTTTCTTGTAGGTAGGGCTACAAATGAATCGACATGTTCATGAACAGACTCGACTCGGCTCGTTAAGGGCTTGGTTCGTTTAGTAAATGAGCCGAGTTCGAACTCGCATAAGCTCGGCTCGTTTATCATTATTTAAAGTATATAATAAATATCTTATTTATATATTAAATAATTTAAATTATATATTAATTAATTTAAACAATATTTTTTATTTAAATAATATAAATAATATTAAAAAAAATTATCGAGCCGAGCCGAGCCGAGCTCGAGTTTCATTAATATTAACGAGCCGTGCTTAGCTCAAGTCCAATTCCTTATTGAGCCGAACTCAAGCTCAGCAAAGCCCGACTTGGCTCGGTTTGTTTGCAGCACTATTTGTAGGGTTCGGTTTCTTTCAAGTTGGCTATCTCAACTTGAGAAAGAGTTTCTGTTTCGTATGCTTATTTTGTGACCGATTTTGGTAATTTAAACCGTTCACTTTTTAAGACTTATTGGGTAAAATATTCATGTAAAAAATATAGATGATCGGATATCGGTAACTATATGTTTAAAAATGGATAGCTATTCTTAAAATTATATTTGTTATCCATTTGCTTAAAATAAATATGATTCAAACATAAAGTTACTGATGTTTAATGATCTAAATTTTTTGTATGAATATTCTAGTTAATAAATTTTAAAAAATAAACAATTTAAATCACCAAAATTAATTTTAAAATAAGCTTACTAAACCCAAACACTCTCAATTTGAGAGAAGTCTTTTTTAAGCCATAGCCTTTCTGAATCCCACAGGGCCGTTTTTCCCCTTCATAGTCTTACAACTACAAATGAATTTTTGTAGAGATTAAATTGAATTTAAAAAAAAAAAATCAATTTTTTTTTTATGTTGAATTAAGAGAAAATTATTAAAAAGTCCACTACAATAATTGTCTAAGGCATTAGATCCAGCAGATATTTTTTATTGGTGAGAAATCCATCATTTGTAAAATAGTTTGGTGAGAAATCTTTTGGTTGATTTTGAAGGACATTTTATTTTCAATTTTACCCCTTAATTTATCTATTGACTATTTTTATCTGTTGACTTTTTTGACTATCTGTTCAAATTTTTTTGACTGTCTATTCAACTTTGTAAAATAGTTTGGTAAGAAAATCCTTTTGTTGATTTTAAAGGACATTTTATTTTCAATTTTACCTCTCAATTTATCTATTGAATTTTTTTATCTATTGACTTTTTTTTGGCTATCTGTTTAAATTTTTTTGACTATCTATTCAAATTTATATCTATTTGTTGAATTTTTTTTCTCTTGTCTATTCACAATTTGTGGTTTTCTCTGGTGGTACAAAACCCTAACCCTAGAGAAAAAGATGAGGGGAGGGAGGGAGAGAGAGAGAGAGAGAGAGAGAGAGGAGTTTTGTATAGATAATGGGGTAATAAGTGTGACTTTAGCCCACCGCGAATGGAGAATAGAGTAGTTTGGTCATTTTGTAGAAGGATGTCCTTATGGACATTGTATTTTCTCATTAATCTTTGGACACAGAAAATTCAAATTTAGATTTATCGCTTGAGCACCCTTAAATTAATTGCATTTATTTTTTAAAACAGATCACCTATCAACATAGCTTTTATCTTTAAAAATGTAATTTTCTAGAATTCTTAGTAAATTTTTAGAATAATAACTAATCTATATGTTAGATTTGAGTCGGGCTTGAACTCAAACCAAGTATCCACAAGTGACTTTACAGCGTTATACTTATTGGATGATGACTTTTTGGATGGTCACCAATGAGTAATGCAACTCATAATTTAATACAAAAGTATTGACAATATCATATAGAGCGTTGTTGTCATCTTACCAATTTTTTCATTCAATTTCTAAGCATGTGCCAACTTAATTAAGGTAAGTTTTTTTTTTTTTTGATAACCGAATTTCCGGGCCAGCACCCTTAACCAAGCTTTTTAGCCCAGGCTAAAATAGCCAAAAAAGTCAAAAAGTCAAAAAGTCAACCCACTTCCCAAACGGAGGCTTATTGGATGATGACTTTTTGGATGGTCACCAATGAGTAATGCAACTCATAATTTAAGACAAAAGTATTGACAATATCATATAGAGCGTTGTTGTCATCTTACCAATTTTTTCATTCAATTTCTAAGCATGTGCCAACTTAATTATGGTAAGTTTTTTTTTTTTTTTTGATAACCGAGTTTCCGGGCCAGCACCCTTTCGGAGTGTCGCACCTCGACTAATCTCAGGGCCCTGAGCTTATCGACCGAGCAAAGACGCAGTGGCCCGCTAGTAGCCAGCTGGGGGTGGGATTCGAACCTGAGACCTAGTGAGAAGCATACTCCTAGGTCCCTGGTCCCTTTCCCTCAACCAACCAGGCTACTCTTACGGGTTACTGGGTAAGTTGTCTCGCAATAATGTCTTTCTTCCATTAATTCTTCCATTTAAGTAATTATTTTTAACTTTGGCGGCACTTTTCTGGTTTACGTTGATGAATATTTTTGTTGGTTAAAAAAAAGAAAAATGTTATTCAGCCTTTCTCCCTCAACTCCATGAAACAGGTAGTGTGTAAAAAATTGTGTAACTATTGTAACAGTATTTTATCACTGAAATAAGAAGATTTTTATATTCAAAAAGTTTGTGAAACATCCTTCAACAAGTTAACGCCTGTAATTGTGTGGACCCATTCATTGCACTATTGCTCATGCGTCACATTAGTGGGCTTCCGCTAACAACTCGGCCTACATATCATTGTTCATAGTTATCATGTATTGGGCCTTGGAAATGAATATGGATCCTGGGAGAGGCCAGCCTGCCTGGTCTAAGTGGGACTCCATGGGCTGGGCTAGCCCATTTTTCTTGAATATCCTTGTTGAATCCAATGGATCCAAACAAAGATATGCATCAATATTAAGTGCCACGATGACATCATCTCAGAAAAGGCATCAAGTAGACAGTTATTATTTATCACCATATCTAATAATATAGTCACAACATCAGTCAATTTATAGGCACATTGCTTAATTCTCTTCTCAATTTGATCAAAGACGAACTATATATCTCGGGACTAAAAAAGTCACAATAAATTTCTTTCTTGTGACGCACTCCAAGTATTGAACCTTCAACAATTATATGGGGAGTACACCCACCAATTATTCAGAATAATGTAAGAATTTTTCTTACTCAATGATTGAATTATATATTATTATACTTAATATGTACTTGTAAAACATGATACAACATTGAAAAGAGTATATATTGCAATATTGATCTATCATATTGGTGTCATTGTTTTACAAGTAATGCTATACAAATAAAAGAATTATGCAAAATGGCATTGCCTTTTATGATCCTTTCATTTTTAGTCAAAACATTCACCATTATGCATATAAATTCTATTTGTAAACCACGTCTTAAGCATGTCTAAGATATTTTCGATGACAATTCATTTATCATGTTTTAACACACTAAAGCCATGTTTGTTTAACTCCATAGGATGAAGGAGATTAAGAGTATGATGGGATTGAGTGAAGAGATAATTAATGTGGTGGTATTAGGTTGGAGATGTAGGTTAAAGAGTTTTTGTTTGTATATCACTAGATTAGTAATTTTATAGATAATATTAATATATAAAATTAATATTTTTTAATTTTTAGTATTTTTTAATATTATAATTATTATTTTTTTTGTTCTAAAAAATATAATTTTTGCTTAAAAATTATTTAAAAATTCACTAATCCTCTCACTCAATTTTTTATCCCAACCGTCCCATAGCTTTGTTAGTCTTATCACATGGGGGGATTACTAGTTTAAGGGGATAATTAATTCCCTCACTCATGTTCCCAACCAAACACTCTTTAAGTGTGTCCCACAGACTATTAGTCAAATCTCCTTCCCAAAGAGCTAAGCAAACATGGCCTAAGGACCTATTTGATTGGACGGGTTATAGCATATGAATGAACTTATTAGTCCTAAACTCACATTTTAATGTTTGGTTAAATTTTTTGTTATTCGGATTAGATTTTAATAAACATTCTATCAAATAAAAATGACAATTTTTTTCATCTTTCAACTAATAATGCAAAACAAACACAAGTGGGGATTAATTATCTCATTAATCTAGTAAAATAATTAATTTTACACCAATTTCATAAACTATTAATCTTATCACTGTTAATCTTGATAATTAAACAGGTGTAAATTTTATTTGTAAATAAAAAGTCACCATCTTGTAGTTTGCATTATTATGTGGTCTAAGCCAACCCCAACATTGGAAGGTGACAATCACCACTATTTATTATTTATCTTCATAAACTTATTGCCCACGTACTTGGTTGTGCGATAATACAAACCAACCACCATCATCAACTATGCATGACCACTTCAAACCAAATGAGATTCAGAGGTAGCCAAAGATCGATAAGTTGAACCGGGTTGCCACCCACCCGGGATCACAGCGTCCGCAACCATGGTCCGACTAGAGTTACTGGACCTCAATCGAATCGAAATTGGAGCTTGTAATGCCGACCCGGAAACGAACTGCCAAACACCACCCAATAATTTTTGCATAGGCTTCCATTCTGATGATTCATCTGATCCCCTTGATGCCTCCTTTAGATCAATTCTTACAATGTCACTTTTTGGGGATTGAATTGCCAACCCGAGTTTGTTATGGATTGACCCGGGAAGAACCCGTAAAGCTATGGTGGTTCCTGAATAATCACATGGCACACTAGAAAGACACAAAACAAACACTTCTTGTTATTAATTCTAATTGCTGCATCAAGTATATTTTTAAAATCTTGCACAAATTACCATACCAGTTAGTTAACCAAAAAAATTAAATTACAATACTAGTTCTTTTAATTTACCTTTTATGTCAATTTGACTTGCAAAAATGATACAAATTCAGAAAAAATATCTATAAACTTATCCAGAAAGTGAGTATATAGTGGATATTGAATTTAATGTGTTGTAGCTCCTATCAATAATGAATTTGATTTACACAATTCAAATTCTGAATAATTTCTAAATTTGTAGCATTCGTGTTTGATTTATGTAGTTTTAATTGTAACAATTTTATAATTTAATTTTTGGTAAATTACATTGACCTACCTTAAGATTTGAAAAAAATACATGACGTTTCATAGTTTTGACACAATTACACTGATATCTGTTTTAGTAAAGTTAAAAAGAGCAGAACTAATGTAGATTATGTGAAAATATAAGAATAAACAAAATAAAATATATGTTTTAGTGTAAAAGTAAAGGCAATGTATTATTTCTCTATCCATATGAAGAATGAATTACTGATAAAAAAAGAGTTAAATATTATGTGAATTAAAACCTTAAATAATGACAATATTATTTTTTCATTCAATGTAATTTACTCTTTAATTGTATATTTTATGTGAAATTGATACAGTGAATAACAATTGTCAGGATTTTTAATTTGTATATTTTATGTGAAATTGATACAGTGAATAACAATTGTCAGGATTTTTAATGAAAATTCGCCCCATGCTTCCCACATGATTATTCTACATGGTAAAAAGGAAAAAATTAACAAATACCTACTATATTAAGGTTGTATTTGATTAAGAATTTAAGAGTGGAGTTGTAGAGAGAAAGGAAAAGAAAAAAGGGAGAGAAAATATAAGTTAAATTTTTGTCACTTTTTCTTCTTTCTTTTTACAAATTTATATTCAAATCCTTGAACCAAATATTGTATAATATCCCTATGTTATTTTGGTCCATAAAATCCAGATTGATTTTTTTTATTTTTTTTTTTTTTTTTTGGGTCTGTAAATGAGCAAATTATCACAATTGAAACTACAATTATCAAATAGAGATAGAAACTAAAATACAAAGACCATTACTATAATTTGCAAGTTTTGTTCAAATATTAGATTTGTGTAGGAATTTATGAAAGAAAAACAAAATGAAAAGAATTTGTCAATGAAATAAAAGGTAATTTTTTTTCACAAAGTGCTCGTTTCTTTATCGTCAGACAAATTCAAAATCTAAAATCCAAATACAGGTTTTAAATACTATATATATTTCTAAAATCAGAACCTTTTGTTTATGTTTTGAAATTTAATTAATTGTAATACTTGCCGTGAATATTGAATTTGTAGTAGTTTTGAACTTCGAAGTTGGTCTTCTTCACCTGGATTCGCCAAGGCACCAAATGCAGTTCCACTAAGCCAAACATTTGAATGAAGAGCCTTTGCCAAAGGAGGCCTAATATGGAAATGACTTGTGGTAGACATGGATGGACCTTCAGGTTTATGATGATCTGTTACAACCACTCTCACTGACTTGCCTGAGCACAGTGGGTTTGATGTACATTTCACCTAGTAATGAACAATACATTAGAATGCAATTTTATTTACGTCCAACAATCATTTAGTATTCCTAATTTTTTATGGGGAATTGGCCCATAAATCCTAAAAAGTGGAATTGTAATCTAATAAGTCCCATATTTAATTTTGTACACCCAAAGGTCCCATTATTTGGCGGTGGACAGTTTTGCCCATGAATGAATTGTTTTTGGTTTAGTGATATTATGTTTGATTGATGTGGGTATATGTAACGTTTGAGAAAAACTTACTATAGCTTTTTAAGGGTTTAATATTTGTCCACGTTTTTTGTGACCTACACTGTGGTGGCCCACATCATTTCTTGAAGCCCACATTTGAAGACAACCCATTATTTTGCAGAAAACACAACGTGGGGGGTCCACGTTTTTATGACCCACGTCAATTTGCTCAACCACATTTTGGTGGCCTACGTCGTACTGCAAGTCTATCCTGTGACCCACATGTTGGTGGGCCAAAACATTTTGGGAGCCACGTTTGGGGGAGCACACATCATTTTCCATAACCACAATTTGATGGACCACATCAATTTGGTGAACCACTTTTTGATGGCCATATCAATTTACTGAACCACATTTTGGTGTGCCCACATCATATTGCAAGTCTATCCTGTGAAGCTCCACATTTTCCGACCATGGAGAGTGTTATCGGACTCGTCAATCGCATCCAGAAGGCATGTACGGTCCTTGGCGACTATGGCGCCGACAATGCCTTGCCTACTCTCTGGGACTCTCTTCCCACCATCGTCGTCGGCGGCGGTCAGGTTCTCTCTCTCTCTCTAAGATCGCTTTTATGGTTGTTCTTCGTTCTGTTCATCACGCAATCTCTCTGTACGTGTATGTATCAGAGTTTGTGTTTCGTATGTTATCTTTAGTTACCTTTGATTTGTGCTGCTGTTCATGATGTGGTTTGTAAAGGTATATATATAATCCAAAAAACGTTTCCAACCATATAAAAGAAGGGTACAGAAGTCAAAAAACCCATCCCATAAAAAAAACAGGACTAGGACATGTATTAATTTTAAAAAAGGACCTAACAGACTACAACTCTCTAAAATGGGAGTTTCCAATAATTTTTTCATTTTTTAATACACCTTATTCAATTATTTAGGATTTTATGTCACTCTCAGTATATCCTATAACTTTTTCTAAATTACCCTTAGACCTCGTTTCTTTTCAGAAGTAAAATGGAAGAGGTTGATAGTGTGGGGATTAATAGTGAGGGGTTTGTTAGTGAGGGAATTAAGTAAAATTGTCTTTGTTTTGATGATAGTTGTTAGTGTAAGAATTGTTAAATTAATCCCTATAAAAAAATATAAAATATGAAAACAAATAAAAGTATAATTTTTACATAACAAAAAGTACAAAAACATTAAACATTAATGTTAAAAAAAAATGTCCAACATGTAAAAAAAAAAAAAAAAAAAAAACCCTAAGTCAGAGGACTAATTTCCTAATACCACCTTCACCTCCTCTATCTCAATCCCACCTCATGGGCTCCAGCCAAAATTCGGGCCAGGCCACAGGCCAAAAAAATTAGGCCCCGGCCCAGGGGTATTCATGCCTTGGTCGGGCCTGACTATTTTTTTTTGTTTTTTTAAACATTTTCTATCAAAATTTTATTACTTTCCACTAAAAAAGACACTGGGCCTCGGGTGGGTAAGGCCTTGAGTGGGTTTTAAGTGGGCTGATGGGCTGGGCCATGGGCAAGGACGTGCTTCAAAATGATGGCCCAGATCCAAGGGCTCGGATTGGGCTCGGGCCCGAGCCTACCTCGGGAACAATACTGCAGAATATCTCTAGGTTGATAAACTAGGTTAAACAATCAATCTTGAATCTATGGGCGTAGAGGAATTGAAAGCAAATTTTAAATCTTCTTATATATATATATATATGAAAGACCTTGGATTGTTTTCTTTAGTGAATGAAAACACTTGATGCAAAAGAAAATAATGGAGGAATACGCATTAAGAAAATAATAGAAAGAAGATAGCGGTTTTTTTTATTTTTTTATTTTTTCAAAAAGAATATAAAGTTAAGACGAACTCCAAGTTCCATGTTTATCTTAGTCTCTAAGTTATATTACTTGTCATTCAAATTCATCAGTGCATCTCTACTATGTAATTAGACAAATTTAATGCCATATGTTGCTACTTTTTACAGTTATACATGTATTTCTTTTATGAAGGATATTCACATGTAACTCTAATGGAGTCTAACATGACTAGTGGGACATATACAAAAAATTACAGAAATCAATAATTATATTTTGACTTTTTTACGAATACTTACCTCATGTTTGATGGGTTGTTTCAAAAAATTGTTTTAAGTATTACTTTCATCTATTGTTTGATGTTGTTCAAATTTTCTTCTATGATTTAAGATCTCAAAATAATAATAATAATAAAAAAAAAACAATGATACTGATGATAATGGTGAGTTTTGGTGGAGGTAGATTAGAGTTTTGGAGTGAAGAAGAAGAAGAAGAAGAAGAAGAAGAGAAAATAACTTTGATTTAAGGAATAATATGTAGAGATTTAAATAAGAAAAATACGTATAATTGATTAAGGTGTATCATGAGAAAAAAATTATTTTAGAATTTAATATGTGTTATCCTTATTAATAAATTTATATTAAAGTATAATAAGAATTAAAAATTAAATTATTAAATAGACGTGTTGAGATATTTTTTTGGATTCAAATAGAATGGCCCACAGCTAGGATAAGTATGGGCCGTTGGCCGGCCCAACTTTATTGGAATTGTTATTTACAGAATTGGATTGAGTTCAACTTTTAAATCCATTTATTAAATGAGTTTGGAAATAGTTTTTGAGCTTATTAATATATTTTAAATAATCTATTTATTAATGAACATATATAATTCATGTAAATTTATGACAGGGCTTGGGATTAAACTTTTCGCCCAACATTGCGCCGGGTTGGGCTTAGGAACAAGGTTTATTTTTATTTTATTTTTAATTGTTTCTAACTTAAATACGGCCTAAACCTGGCCTAGCTTTATCGATGCCCAATTCTAGCCATAATGTGCATGTTTTAGGGTAGAGTCAAAACCTACTTCCTTTTTTTTTTTTGACAAAGTCAAAAATTTTGTTTGGTGAGGGCAAAATCTTACCTACAAGTACTAAATTAGATATGCAAATTTTTAATTGAAAGAAGAAAATATTTTGAAATGATAATAAAAAGAGAAAATAATAAATCAGTTGAGGGTAGAAAAAATAAAAAATAAAATTAATGGTAATTTTTGTAAACTTCAATTATTAAAGCCATAAATTTTTTCACATGCGTGTAATTATTTTTGAAAAGTTAACTTGATTTGTAATCTCCCTAACAAAAATTTAAAACAATAAACACAAGTGTAAATTACAAACACACTCATTAAAATTTTTTTTTTTTTTTTTTTTTTATAAAAACTATAATAAAAAATATGGATTGCCCTATGTGGTTCAAGGAATTAAAAATACCCTCCATTGTTAGAATTTTTTATTTAACAAAATTAATAGAAAAAATAAAATTCATAACTACTATTCTACATAACAATAAAATTACCTAAATTATTAATTAAAAAAATATATTTTTATATCATTAAAAATTATTAATTGATTTCATGATTTATTAATAAAAGCGGTCGTTTGTTATGTGATTAGAATCTTGAAGGGGTGAGAAGTAATTTCCTTTTTAGGAACAATATGTATTTTAAGCAAATTTCAAGTGGTATATTTGTAATTTACCCTAAACACAAATGACCAAATAAATAAATTCCATACTTCATTTTCAAATGATAATTTTGCGAAATTAAAGTGATAAGGGTGTGAAAGAGAGATTGAAAAAATAGACAATATAAAATTCAATAGCAAATAAATAAATAAATTCAAAAGGGGTAAATTGAATATTAGAATCCTTATTACCTGCAAGCAAGCTCCACAGCCCCTACTAGGTATGGAGTGAAAGGGGTTTCTTAAAGATACAGTCAGAGAAGAGAAAGGAGGTTTCAACACTAAATCTCCATACCCACACCTTCCTCCTCCTGCATCCATGCATTCATTCATAATCACAAGCACATTAAAATAATGTTACACACAAACAAAATATAAATATATGTACCCAAAAAAAAAAAAAAAAACAACAGCTTAGGGTATGATCCAAATTTATTCTAGTTATGATGTGTAGTACACCAAAATAAAGATGGGTTTTGTCTTTGTGCCAACAGAATTAGGAGAATTTATATCATACTAGTATTGCCAAGTGATGTCCCATAGAGATTGTGATTGGTAGAGAGGTCCCTAACTTTATTTCGGAGATTAAGAATACAGACAACAAGACAAATGGTATTCGGTGATTGTTGATATGGGCTGTGCGGTGCCCATGGCACAAAATAATTTTCGAAAGGACTACACTACACTTTATAATGAGAGTAATAAAATACAAAATGATGTGGTATCTTGTGATTTTTTTTTTTACAATGAAAACACCCATTGTTTTACTCATAATTTCATAAATGTCACAGCCGCTGCCACATTATTCTTGTTAATTTGTTAAAAAAAAACATGTAAAGATATCATCTTTCAACTGAAAAAATAAGGATAAATTACACTTACCTCCCCTAAGTTTTCTAACAATTACAGAGAACTCTCTTATAGTTTCAATAATTACACTAATCTCCCTTACGTTTGAAACTATTATTAAGATTCCCCTAATCTATTAAGTTCGTATAAATGGCGTTACTTTGTTGTGAAAATGACCATATTACCCTTTGAGTTACACGTAAAAAGATAAAAATGCCCATACGCCAAGAAATCTCATTCATTATCTACCCTGAGGTTTTGCATATATATTATCAAAGATCTATACATATTGTAACATTATTCCATAAAATTCTTAAATTTCATGCAATATTAAATAAGCTCTGGGGGTCTTAATTAGGAAAGGCCATTTGAAGCCCCTGGAGTCGCGGCCATTACTAGACAAACTTCCTTCCTTCCATAACCCGGCCAAATACTTTGCCTTTAATTCTGCAAACATCCTCTTCATTTTGCTGCATTATTTTCTTGTCAAAGAGAGTATAAACACTTAGTGTGTTCGTTAGGCAAACAATTTGTAGTGCTGCTATTGTTTGTAGTAGATCATTTTATCCTGGGAGATAGACGTCCAAATTCTGAAAGCACCATGGAGAGGACGAATCTGTCTTAAGAACACAGTGTCAAACACTGGACTTGATCAAATTATAATTCGAAGAAATTAAATCAAGTTATTTAATTTATTTTCAGTGTTATTATTATTTATTTAAATCAGATTTTAATTTTGTTTTTGTAACAAAATAAAGTCTGTTTTTATTTATTTATTTTTATTTTGAGTTTGATTTTTGTAATCAAATAAATTCTTTCATTTCCTTTATTTCTTTTATATTTTGTTTGTTGTTAAGTACACAAACTAAATTAATTAATTACAGTGAAGATTGTCCAACAGTTCCACCGGGGCTCCGAATGTTTGCAAAATAACAAAATGCTCTGTTTGTCTCCTAAAGTGTTCTTTTGAGACTACGACACAGACTTTGAATTGGTAGAGAGGTGGAGAGATGGGTAAATGAAAATGCTGCAGACAAGAAAGAGAAAGAAAAAGAAAAAAAAAAGGAAAAGGAAAAGGAAGAAGTGGAGTGAGAGGGTTAGTAATGGAGTTCATCGGCAAGTAGATTGGTGCTGACAAATATTGTAGAGCAGTGGAGCCAGTGCCGAACTGATTGTGCCGGATGAAGGTTGTGGTGGCCATGTGTTCACTACAACAAAATGCAATTTTGGCGATCATTTTTGGCGACTAAAAAAATTTAGTGGCCAAAGGTTGTAGAATTGGCGACCAAAAAATAATATTAGTTGGCAAAAGTCAAATATTTAGCCACTAATTTTTTTAGTCTGGGAATATTGATTATTGACGACTAAAAAAATTTAGTCGCTAAAAATATCACAATTGGCGACTAAAAAAAATTTAGTCGCTAAATTTGTCACAATTGGCGACTAAAAAAATATTTTAGTCGCTGTATAGGTAGTTTTGACAACTAAAATTATTTAGTCACCAAATCAAAAATAAAAATTTACTTTTTATCTTTGGCGACCAAAAGTTTGGTCAGCAAAAATTTAATTTTAGCGACTAAAAAATATAGTTTTGGCAACTAAAATAATTTAGTCGCTGAATGAAAAACAAAAATTCACTTTTTATCTTTGGCAACCAAAATCTTGGTCGGCAAAAATTTAATTTCAGCGACTAAAAAATATTTTAGTCGCTGCATAGATAGTTTTGACGACTAAAAAAATTTAGTCGCTAAAAATATCACAATTGGCGACTAAAAAAAATTTAGTCGCTAAATTTGTCACAATTGGCGACTAAAAAAATATTTTAGTCGCTGTATAGGTAGTTTTGACAACTAAAATTATTTAGTCACCAAATCAAAAATAAAAATTTACTTTTTATCTTTGGCGACCAAAAGTTTGGTCAGCAAAAATTTAATTTTAGCGACTAAAAAATATAGTTTTGGCAACTAAAATAATTTAGTCGCTGAATGAAAAACAAAAATTCACTTTTTATCTTTGGCAACCAAAATCTTGGTCGGCAAAAATTTAATTTCAGCGACTAAAAAATATTTTAGTCGCTGCATAGATAGTTTTGACGACTAAAAAAATTTAGTCGCTAAAAATATCACAATTGGCGACTAAAAAAAATTTAGTCGCTAAATTTGTCACAATTGGCGACTAAAAAAATATTTTAGTCGCTGTATAGGTAGTTTTGACAACTAAAATTATTTAGTCACCAAATCAAAAATAAAAATTTACTTTTTATCTTTGGCGACCAAAAGTTTGGTCAGCAAAAATTTAATTTTAGCGACTAAAAAATATAGTTTTGGCAACTAAAATAATTTAGTCGCTGAATGAAAAATAAAAATTTACTTTTCATCTTTGGCAACCAAAAGTTTGGTCGGCAAAAATTTAATTTCAGCGACTAAAAAATATTTTAGTCGCTGTATAGATAGTTTTGGCAACTAAAATAACTTAGTCGTTGAATGAAAAATAAAAATTTACTTTTTATCTTTGGCGACCAAAAGTTTGGTCGGCAAAAATTTAATTTCGGCGGCTGAAAAATATTTTAGTCATTGTATAAATAGTTTTGGCAACTAAAATAATTTAGTCGCTGAATAAAAAATAAAAATTTACTTTTTATCTTTGGCGACAAAAAGTTTGGTCGGCAAAAATTTAATTTCAGCGACTAAAAATTATTTTAGTCGTTGTATAGATAGTTTTGGCAACTAAAATAATTTAGTCGCTGAATGAAAAATAAAAATTTACTTTTTATCTTTGGCAACCAAAATCTTGGTCGGCAAAAATTTAATTTCAGCGACTAAAAAATATTTTAGTCACTGTATAGTTAGTTTTGGCAACTAAAAACTATTTTAGTCTCTCATTCCATTACTGCCCTCCTCCTGATATTGAATCTCTATCGCTTTGTTTCCATCGCTGTCGGGTAAGGAGCATCACTGCCATCGAGCACCACCGTCGATCCACTATTAGAGCATTACCGCAGTATGTCCTCTCTATTTTGCCTTCTCTCTGTCCCTCTATCTGCTTCTCTTCCCCTAATATCTGTCTCTCTCACTCTGTGACTCTCTCTGTCTTTGTTTTCTCTTTAACTAAAGTAATTTTGTTCTACAATGTCTCACCCACCAGGGCCTTCACCATCCCCATTTTGTAGAGCATCTTCGAATCTCCCTAAAAACAATTTGAGGTATAAATATCTATCTCTTTCTATAAAATGATTCAAGGAATATGTAATTTCTTGTTTTTCTTTTTTTAGGTTCTGAAAGCCTGAAATTCATAACACTTAAAATTTTATCTTATAGTTTCATCTTATACTTAATTTATACTGGTAGCACTTGATAAAGATTCTTAAAGCTGCCTTGCTGAACTTTGCTTCTATGATCTTCATCTTATACTTAAAATGATTCAGGGAACATGTAATTTCTTGTTTTTCTTTTTTTGGGTTGTGAAAGCCTGAAATTCATAACACTTAAATTTTATCTTAAGTTTCATCTTATACTTAATTTATACTGGTAGTGCCCGATAAAGATTCTTGAAGCTGCCTTGCTAAACTTTGCTTCTGTGATCTTCATCTTATACTTAATTTACACTGGTAGCGCCCAATAAAGCTTTGGAGTTTTGTTGACTAATATTTTTTTAGTTGCCAAAATATAATTTTCTACAATCTAATTGAAATTTAGTCGGCAAAAGTCGAAGAGGGAAGACAAAAAAAAAAGTGGGAATGAAAAAATGTTTAGCGACTAAAATATTTTGGTCACAGATAATAACATTTGCCGACCAAAAATTAATTTTGTCGCCAAAGGCATGAAAATTTTAGAGGGAAACCATTTAATTGCCCCCCGCTTGTTCTTTGTTTAAACCGATTAGATTGTTCTCTCTCATACAGATTCTCCTTCACCACCAAACCTTACCCTATCTCACCTCACTCTGTGACTTAGGGCTTAAAAACATGTTCGTCTCTCTCTCTCACTCTGTGACTCTCTCAGTCTGCGACTCTCTCTATCTCTCGCATCTGCCCTCTTTCGATTCTCTCTCTCACATTTGCCCAACTCCGATTCTCTCTCTCTCTCTCTCGCTTTTGTCTCCATCGCCATTGGTATAGGAGCACCATCGGCGTCGATGCCTGTCGCACATGAGGACCATCGCAAACCAACAACCTATATCATCTTATCTCGTAGTCATGATCCATCATTAGGGCACTAGCCAAGGTATGTCCTCTCGGTTTCTCTCTCTCTCTCTCTATATATATATATATATATCTATCTATCTATCTATCTATCTATCTATCTATCTATACTATTATAAAGTGAACAACTCTTATGGTGTCCTGAAGCTTTGTTTCTTATGCTGCCACGTGTCCACTTTTTTTTTTTATTTAAAATTTAAAAAAAAATTAGATAGATGAGTGGAGGAGACTTGAACCTTAGACATATAACAAATGAATAAGCCTCTTACCACTTGACTAGCACACAATATATAATAAATTTCTTATTTTATTTTTATTTATTTGAATAGCACATGCAACGCGTGTGGTAACCGCTAGTATATATATATATATATATATGTATCTCTATATCTCTATCTTTGTTCCCCTAATTTCGGCCTCTAGGGTTTTTTTTCTTCTTTCATCCGCATACCTTCTTCACGCAAACCTACCCCTAAATCAACCCAGCCATCGCCATTCATATAGTGGGCAAATGGTTTCCTTCACTCTTCCCGTCTTTACCTCCATATTTGCGAAATCCATTCTTGAAACCCCTCCTCAAACCTTCCTTTCCTAAACCTGCCTTCCTTCTATATCTTTGATTGCATTCCATTAACAAGATTTGTGGATCTTAGATTTGTCAAAAAATGATTTTTTATTGCTTATTTCTGGAAATGATATCTTCTCTCTCTTATATAATTGGGAAAGTTTCTTTCAAACTGACAAGGACAGGTATTGTGTGATGTGGATTGTGGAAAGGAGTCCGTCTTATGTGAATACAGCAGAGATGCTAACTCCTATAGGTAAAAATGCTCACCTCCTAAATACCTGTAATCAAAATTATCACTTTTATAGCATGTTAACCTCAATTTCCCCAAATTTTGTTGGTTTCCTAACAATCAAAGTCAATAATTAAGCTAAGAACTTGTCTTGTGAACAACTTAACATTGCTTGCTTTGTTCCATTTATTTCTATTTATGGTTTCAGTACATGGTTCTGGTTTCAAATTATAGCCCACAATTCTTCTCTTACATTAAATTGGAAACCATTTATTACTTTCTTTGTATTTGCTTAATCTTATGTTGTGATCGGTGATCCCTTATTTTGTTATAGGTCACCTTGGTCAAATAAATACCATCCACCATTGGAAGATGGATTTTACCCTTCTCTGGAGTTGAGAAAACTTGAGATTGAAGCAAATGAAGTCTTTGCAATTTATCGTGACCAGTAAGGTTCTTTACTTACCTTGTCTTGTAGTTTGTTGTGTTTTCTTATTAAACTATATTATGGCATAACAAGTTTTTTTTTTCTCCTTCTATTTCTTTCTGTTCAGTATTCCCTTTGGTTATTTATTATTTTTTAATTTTTTTAATCAGTTGAAACACAATACAGAATGTGAATATTTTATTGATTTTACTTGCTCAAGAGAGCAAGTGATGGTAATGTGAAAGTGATGATGACTTGATAGAAAATCATTTATTTACGTTCATTACCTAATTTTGTTTCTGAAAAATTAGTAGCAAATTGATCAACTAGTATTTTGGGTAGGTATTATGAAGGTGGCATTTCATCAGTGTATTTGTGGGAAGATGCGAATGAAGTTTTTGTAGCTTGCTTCTTGAGAAAGAAAGGTAATTTTTATCTCTAATACCCTTGATCAAAAGTTCTACACCTTTTCACAAACCTGCAATAATTCTTGAGGATGAAGATGGCTCAAAGTCAGGGCATGGAAGGAGAGGTTATCTGCATGAGGGAATATGGGATGCTATACATGTTATTGAGGTAGGCATCATCTGCAGACTCAGTTTTCCCTTCCTCTTTGAGAGTATTCATTCATTCATGTTACAATCCTTTACCTTTATGTGGCTCCAGAGGATGAAGAAATGACTCGTTACTGTTTAACAAGTATTGTCATGTTGTCATTGACTACAAATAATGACTCGTCTGGCACATTCAATCTGTCAGGATCAATTAGAAGACATGTAATTCTTACTGATTTAAATTGTGTTTTATATTGTTGAGTTCAAACCAGTATCTGGGCTTTCAAGACTTTATAATAAGTCAAAGACGAGCTCAACTTAGAAAAATGTTGTTCCATTTGCTTCACATTGGTTGCATGTAATCGATTAAAAATGGATTGATATTTATCTTGCTTTGTGGTTTTTTAGATGGCGTTGATTGGAGATGAATAGCATCTACCAACTAAAAGTAAAAAAAAATATCAAACTGGCTGTGTCATTTTTTTTGTAACGCCCTCAAAATAATACATAAAACCCATTATTTTAGACATATAAAAGAAACCAACCATTTCTATTCATCAGAGTAATTCTTACAACTGTATTACATGTTAACGACAAAAGCAAATGCCTTACGGGCTTACAGCTTTCCAAGTTAACACTTGGTTACAAAAAGGAGTACTAACTCAATACATATAAAAACCCTTGTCTTGAATTTACATGTAATACACCAAAAGAAAATAAACAAAACAATCCGCCTGCCTCTAGCCTCCCAAGCTACGTCCTTGGAGGTGGCATGCTACCTGTACCTGAAAATGATGTCCCATAAAGGGTGAGCCACAACCCAGTAGAGATATGCTAAACACAGTATGAGCAATGACTAAGACATTAGCAATTGATAAATGCTCAATTTCCACAAACCGATTCATAACTCATTTCCATTCCATTCCACTTTTCATTTCTTATCAATTTTCACAATTTACATCAACGGCTCAGAACCTGGCCAACCACTTATATGAGACAATGACTCATGTTAAACATTTCCCATTTTACAATAGATAAACATACTAGTTGTATCAACATCTCAACAGATAAGCATACAAGTTATATCCACATTTCAACTGATATGCATATTAGCTATATCAACACTTCTAATGATAAGCATATGAGGTATATCAACACGTTGTCTGACAAGCATATGAGCTGTATCAGTGGAGTCCATCCCCTATCTCCTCCCAAACAACATCCGGTTTAGAGGTCCATCCCCTATCTTCCCCTAAACCGTGGAGTACATCCCCTATCTCCTCCCACACACACAACGTATATACACAAAGGTCATATACACAATCAATCAATACATAACGTTAATGTATTCTATCAACCGTCATACTCTATGACATATCCAATTGATTAGTTTTAGTTTGCCTAATCACCATACATTGTCTACAACAATCAAAACTACCCTCCACCGGTAGCCCAAGCAATTATTTCTAAACAGATAATAAAAGCTCCAACAGATAAAATATCAATGTTTTCAAAAGTGAGCGATTTATAAATCCAACTCCATCATTTCACAACATAATGAGGAAATTTCATTATTTCCACAATTTTCCCCAAATTAATTATACCAATTAATTTATTCAACAAATCAGGGTTTTCTACCCCATTTCCCAATATTGACCTAATGGCCTATATATCAACAACCAACAACAACATCATCATTTTGAAACCCAAAATACATGTTTAAGAATCAAAATATCAAACCCTCGTTTATACCCTTTTGAAACCCTAAGTCCTGAAATCAACCAACTTCAACACTTTATCAAAACTACCAATAATCTATGTCGAAGACCATAATAGTGAGTAGGAATTCCTACCTCAAATTCAGAGCTCAAGGGAAGAAGATGACGAAACTCAACGTGCTCCAAAACTCGAAATTTTCGGATCAAGGTAAAGCCCTCAACGATCAACCCAACTTTTGTGAAGACCAAAGGTGAGGAAAACACCCTAGCTAGATCAATACTTAGAGAGAAGTTATGGTTTTAGAAAGAGGAGCTCTCAAATGGCTTTTTGGAAAAGTAAGAGAGAGAGAGAGAGAATGCAAAATGTGATTTTAAAATGCCCAGCTGCCAACTGATATACGACATTCCCGCTCCAGCGGAGAACACAACGCTCGAGCGCCAAGAACAAAAATCTGAACACGCTCGAGCGCAAGAAGGCCCGCTCGAGTGCCAAGACACAAGAATAAAGCACTTCCGCTAGAGCGCGAAACCCAGTTTGCTCGAACGTAAATTTCCCCCTCCCAGAACTTATATCCAGAAAGTGCTACCCGCTCGAGCGCCAACAAACCCGCTCGAGCGCTACCGCTCGAGCGTAAAGAAACCCGCTCGAGTGTAAAAATCACACCTGCATAAGTTTTGCAGGGACATGAAATACTGGAGGTGTGCAATCCCCGCTCGAGCGCAAAAAGACCCGCTCGAGCGGACCGCCTAAAAAATGGGCAACAAGGAATTGAAACCAAGGCCTAACCAACCTGTAACAACCTTGCTCAAAACATCCTAAAACTCAATCAGGTGGAATTAAAGGGCGACAACAAGATAGATACAACTACCAACTTCACGGAACCGAGTTCGGAATATAACAGAACAGTAAAGGAACAACCGGGATCGCTATAACCTCCCCCTCTTAAAGAATTTCATCCCCGAAATTAAACACAAGTTTTTCAAAAATAGGTTTTCTCCATTCTCAACAATATTACAACATAATATTAAACAACCCGACCCATTACCGGTCAATCCCATCTCTTTTCAAGAGGCAAAACACATTATTCATAACAACCCGCATTATCAACATGCATTCTTTTGAAATCTACCAATTTCAACCTGTTTCTCACAATTTCTTAACACATGCAACATTAATATTATGCTTGCATTTCCACAATATACTTAACATACGCAATGTTAAAACAAACTTCCATTAACCAAAACATTCACAATGTTTTACAACTTAAGACATATACAATGCTCTTAAAGTTCAACAATATTACAGAATTTCATTACAAAATTGCACATCAATAAACATGTCCGGATACTTTTCACGGACTTCCAACTCACATTCCCAAGTGGCTTCTTCCACTCCGTGATGTTTCCACAAAACCTTCACCAAGGGAATGGTCTTGCCTCGCAAGACTTGATTCCGCCTATCCAAGACCCGAACCGGTCTCTCCTCATACGAGGCATCCTTATCTACCTCCAAGTCGGTCCAATCCAACACCTGGGACGGATCCGGCTCATACTTCCGAAGCATACTAACATGAAAGACGTCATGAACCCCGGACAACTGCGGTGGCAAAGCCAAACGATAAGCAACTTCCCCAATCCTCTCGAGGATCTCAAAGGGACCAATAAACCGAGGGGATGACTTCCAACTCTTCCCAAACCTCATCAAACCTCGCCTAGGTGATATTTTCAAGAAGACATGATCACCTACCTCAAACGCCAAAGGCCTCCTCCTACGGTCGGCATAACTCTTTTGGCGACTCTGGGCTGTAACAAGCCTCCTACGGATAAACTCAACTTTCTCCGTCGTCTCCCTAACCAACTCCGGACCCAACAAAGGTGCATCACCCACCTCGGCCCAACACACTGGAGACCTACACGGTCGGCCATACAAGGCCTCAAACAGTGCCATACTGATGCTAGATTGGAAACTGTTGTTGTAGGCAAACTCCACCAAGGGCAAGTGCCTCTTCTACGTCCCACTGAAGTCAAGGACACAACCTCGAAGCATATCCTCAAGGATCTGAATAGTACGCTCGGACTGCCCGTCAGTCTGAGAATGATAAGCCGTACTAAAGGTCAACTTAGTGCCCAAGGCACTCTGCAAACTCTGCCACAACCTGGCAGTAAAAGGAGGATCTCTATCTGAGACGATCGTCACTGGAACCCCGTGCAATCTCACTATGTCCCGAATATACAAGTCGGCAAGATGATCTACCGAATCTCTCACGCGCATAGGAATGAAATGTGCTGACTTAGTCAACCGGTCTACAACCACCCAAATGGCATCACTACCCCGCTGAGTTCTCAGAAGACCTACAACGAAGTCCATAGTGACATGCTCCCACTTCCACTCGGCAATAGGCAAGGGTTGCAACAAACCCGCTGGCCTTTGATGCTCGGCCTTCACTTGCTGGCAAGTAAGGCACTTAGACACGAAAACAGCCATATCTCTCTTCATACCCCGCCACCAAAACTGGCGACCCAAATCCCGATACATCTTAGTGCCTCCCGGGTACACCGCAAGGCGTGAATGATGGAACTCTCGGAGTACTTCCACTCGGCAAGACTCCGGCACAAACAAATGGTCTCGGTATCTCACACTCTGGTCGGGATACACCGTCAAACCCTTCTCAACCTTCCCATTTGAGATCTTCTCTCGGAAGGAATCCACCTCAAGGTCACCTCTCTGTGCCTCTAACACTCGAGTCACAAGTGTAGGCTGCGCAACAATAGAAAACAAGGCCGCAGCCTCAACAGATTCGCCCAGAAACAAATCAAACTCGCTAAGCGCACGCAACATCTTCCATTCCCGGATGGCTATACAAGCTACATCACTAATGGATTTCCTACTAAGGGCATCGGCCACAACATTGGCCTTTCCCGGGTGATAGTGCAACTCAAAATCATAGTCCTCAATGAACTCCATCCACCTTCTCTGCCTCAAATTCAAGTCTCTCTGTGTAAACAGATACTTCAAACTCTTGTGGTCCGAGAACACCTCGAACCTCTCACCATAAAGGTAGTGCCTCCAAACCTTCAAGGCAAAGATCACTGCTGCTAACTCTAGGTCGTGTGTAGGGTAGTTTTTCTCGTGTATTTTCAACTGACATGAGCCATAAGCTACAACCTTTCCCTCTTGCATCAACACACAACCCAAACCCTCTCGTGAGGAATCACAATAAACTACATAACCCAACCCTCTCTCCGGAATAATCAAGACCGGAGCGGTGGTCAATCTAACTTTCAACTCTTGGAACTACTTTTCATAAGTCTCACTCCATACAAATTTGACCCTTTTTCGCGTCAATCTGGTCAACGGCGAAGCTAGCCTGGAGAAATTTTTCACAAACCGACGGTAATACCCAGCTAATCCCAGAAAACTGCGGATCTCAAACACGCTCTTAGGCTGTGCCCAATCTTGCACTGCCTCTACCTTGGATGTATCAACAGACACCCCTTCCCCAGATACCACATGGCCTAAGAATTTGACCTCTCCTAGCTAGAACTCACACTTTCCA